AAAAAAAAGTGGCTTCCGACAGCTAGAATGAATCTACGGCATTCGAGCATGCCATACAATGTGGCGCTGCTCGATCGAAAACGGCCTGGATAGAGCATGACAAAGGCTTGAAGGTTGTACCCAATATGCCATACCCAACGGATGAGTTCAACGGCCTTGTAGAGGCTGCACCATTGACAAGGGAGACCCATATTGGAAATTCAGACAAAGGGCCCATGACGACAGTGGAGCTCACCAACTCTTTATGCAAATCAAGAACTGAAATCTCGTCCAAATACCACGTCCATTTAATTCCCGTCATCGAAGACTCGTACAACCCCTTATACTTCGCGAGTTCTACGGACGTTCAAGTCATCTTCGCTGATACACACTTTCGCGATGACACTCCTTTTTTACCTTTGGTGGGACCTCAGAATTCAGGGTGAAGTGTGACTTTATCCCAGCTGTTATAGAACATGGATAACTCCCATATCGAAAACCAAAGGGCCATTTCGAATGTGAATTGGGCCTACACAGTGAAGAATAGGTTCCTTCTATACTCACAAAACACCAAGAATCGGTATGGAAGGAATTGAGTAGTTCAATCTGAAGAAAGAATTCAGAGAAAACATTCCTGCCAACCCAACGTTCCCATACTTTCCACCAGAATACAACTCGTTGCAAATAGTCGGGCTGATATATCGTCCTACCCAAATGATCTAGCATATTTCAATACGGAAAAAATATTTATCTAATCTTGTAAATGTTTTCGAAACTGTATTTATATTTACACTGTGCCTCAACAAACACTTCACAGACGATGTTTCTTCTAAACTTGATCGGATCCATAGACTTTCTCTACAGCTGTGAACCATCCCTCATAGACAACCGTATCAGGAGTAGTGTCGGTGTGATAATGACCTGAAACTCACTGGCTAATTGGAAAAATTGAAGACTATGGTGCTGTATTACCGTGGGTTGTCGTTCACTTACCGCCATCATTGTGATCAGAATAACAATGAGTATGTTCCATTCGAAGGTTGTAACCAGGATCATATGAATGGAAAACGGTTGCACATACTAGCAGTGCTTTCACATTGAACATATGAAACCATTTTCTGACCTTAATTCCTGATAATTTTCATCCAGCCATTTCAAAGTGAGCTGTAACTGAGGAGTTACCTCATCCATCGACTTGAAGTTATCAGATGGATAATCGGAACAATGGGTACATCTGCTTTCCCTTGAAGTAGGAGAGAAATTCCAGCCAAAGAAACACAACTGTAAAAAGTACACAAGCGAATAATACCGTATCCGCCACCGTAAACATTTGAAAGGGCAACGACCACATGAAAGTAATGATAGACCATGGCAAGAATATTACAGTACTTCCAAGTACCGTACATTACAGTACGTACCGCTGCACTGCAATCCGATAGAAAACCTTCGCCAGTACAGTACCAGTGGGGTGGTCAGGTTGACGGAGGCCTTTACACATTTGCGGAAAAATTCGGCATATTGCGCCTTTTGACTATAAACGACTTGATAGTTTTGCTAGCGAAAATTCTGGAGAGATTGTCCATCGCTTCTAGTATTCACTATCGAAAGCCAGTATATAGGCTTTCTCCCCTTTCCCCAGAACAACTTCGACAAATGGCTGTGAGCAACATGCACAGACAACCAGGTCCAAATAGTATCTCAACTCTATCTCCTCTCTTATTTTCACACATTCTCTTCTAAATGCAGTAATGAACCTCGTTTGTACAACTTTATCAGTGCCTGTCATTACTGCTGAAAACTGCTGTCATAGGCCATCTGGTGATATGAAGTATACCTTGCTACTGAGAGGTGGTGCAGTTTGCTGTTAGAATATCGAATATCATAGCTTCTGGGAAATTTCTGGCCAGCGAACAGCAACAGCCGATCCTACCT